AACCAAAATAAAAAAATTTAGCTTTATATATTATTTTATTTATATAATTAATGCAAACAATAACTTTTTTATATAGTTTAAATTAAAAAAAAATACTATAATTTTATAATAGGATTCTTATAAGTCGTGTAAATAACTTTAAATTAAATAGAATTCTTTATCTTATAAGGCTTCCCAAATAAATAGGTTATATGCCGTGTAAATCCTCCAACTCTAAATTCTTCTCATATAAAGCTTACTTGACAACATTAGTATTCTTATCTTATCGTGTAAACCAAAATAAATCCTCCTACTCTAAATTCTTATCATATAAAGCTTACTTGATAACATTACATCTTAGGGTTCTTATCTTGTCGTATAAACCAAAATAAAAAAAAATTAGCTTTATATATTATTTTATTTATATAATTAATGTAAACAATAACTTTTTTATATAGTTTAAATTAATAAAAATACTATAATCCACTTGCATATTATATCTTTTCAATCCAACCATAAATAAATTATTTAAATCTTTTTAGAATATCTATAAAAATACATTGAAATAGTTATTGAATATTATATGATCTTTCTAATATATTTTAAAGAGTTGAAATAGTTATATAATAACATATGTGTTTTTTCTATTATTTTATGTTTTATATTTTTTTTTTTCAAACAACCCGTGTAGTACACGGGTGTCGTACTAGTGTGATATTATTTGCATACCAATGAGATATTAATCAGTAATTAAGTAGAATAGTTGGTGGGATTAGAAAAAAAATAATTATCTTAATTAATTAATAATGATGGTGGCTTGAAATATATATATATAGCCATGTGTTGAATGATAATTAAAGGATTAAGAAAACTGTAGTGTTTGAAGATCGTATCTGATTTGAGTGCCTCACTAATTTGTTGACCTTTTGAACACAATTTTGCTTCAGTACAATGTTCACGCAAAAGGATTTCAACATTATAAAATAAAAAAGCATGGATTTCGAGCACCTACGTGGGATTTGGTGCGTCTATCATATGACGTTTTTATTCCTAATTAATTTAATTTTACTATGTTAATTTATAATAATATCATCTAGATGCGTATAATATAATGTTCTCTTGCTGTATTTTTTAAAGCATTAAGTAATAAAAGTTGAGGAATCTGTCACACTAATTTTTTTTTTCCTCATTGAAGTTTAACTACATTTGTCAATATTTCAATTGTAGCTCAAGATATTTTGGGGGTTTCTTTAATTAAAGACCCAAAATTCATTAAATAAAGTTTTTAATAGTAGCCAAACAAGAAAACTATTAGTTTAATAGATTTTCATATAGATTTTCAATGCTATAAATTTGCATTGAAAATTTTCAATCAAAATTCAAACAATAATTCACGCTAAAACATTCAAAACTGAAAAACTTTTCCTTGTACTTTTAGTTTGAATTTGATGATACAAACGTTACTTTTCCAAAGAATTTTCATTGATTTTTTTTTTCAAAAAAACTGGCAATAATTGAAAAAATCTATCATTTGAGTCGTCAAAATTCAAGATAAAAATAGTTCCAAAAGCATATTATCGTTGCAGTTGGAATTTCATAATTTTAGTAATGCCTGAAAAAAAAATATATTACAATTGCTTAAAAATAGCTACAAGCTTACTTGGCACATCAAAATTTATATAAACTTTTAAGCTTTTAACATAAAAGCAAAATATTTCCCAGATGGCAATTTCATAGATGCTACAGTTAGACCGGGTTGTTCGTTCATTTGGAGAAGTATTGTCTGGGGTCGTGAAGTTGTTCAGGCAGGTATGCGTTGGAGAGTAGGTAACGGTAATTCAGTGAGGGTCTTCTTGAACCCTTGGATCCCCCATTTTCACAGATTTCGGTCTATTTCTCAACCGTCGGTGGGTATTGATAGAGTTAGTGATCTAATTGACAGGAATGGGGATTGGAATCGAGTTTTAATCAACTGATTTTTTTTTTTTCCAATAGACTCACGGGCAATTTTCTCTATTCCTCTGAGCCTGACAAATATTCCGGACCACCTCATTTAGCACTTTTCAAAAAAGGGTGATTACACGGTGAAGAGCGGCTACCATTTGCTTGTGCAACGACAATTTGATGACTTGGAAGATTCTGCTTCTTCTTCTTCTCAAGATTGGTGGTGGAAAGCCTTGTAGAAAATGAATATTTTACCAAAGATTAAAATGTCTTTATGGATGGTGAGTAATTGGGCAATTTCGTCTGCAGAAAATTTGGCCCGACGGCATATTACGGTGGATGCAAAATGTCCCATATGTTCTTGTTGGGAATCTAATGTTCACGTATTTTTTTATTGTTTTTGGGTTAAAAAGTCCTGGAAATTTGCAGGTTGGTGGGATACATTGTCTCGTTGCGTGGCTCGAATTTTGCGTTTATATTCTGTGCGATTCTGGGTAGTGATCGTGGGGATAAATTTCCATTATATTCGCTCATTTTGTGTGGATTATTTGGCACGAACGAAATCATATTAGTCATGGGTTGAAAGCTAGGACGGTGGAACAAGTATGGACAGTTGGGAATGCATGTCGGGAAGAGGCCGAGAAAGTTCGATCGGAGCGAATCATGGTATATCGTTCATTGAATCAGTCAACAATCGACAGGTGGTCTGGCCCGGGAAATTGTAATAACTGTCTCACTTTATTTTGCGATGCGACGGTCCATGATTCGAGGATTGGGTTAGGCGGATGGATAGGCGACGCAGAAGGTGTGTATTGGGCTGTTTTTCAAACTAATATTTCGGGTTCGTTTTCATCAATTACAGCCGAAGCCATGGCCCTCAGATTTGGTCTCCGATTTGCTCTCGATGCGGGATTTTCGATTCAATATGCAAAGACAGATGCCCTTGCGGTTGTTTATGGTTTACTAGATATGTCGCCAAACGACCCTTTGCATCATGTTTTGGCGGACATTGTATCTCTTTTATTTCTATTAGAATGTGGGTCTTGTAGCCATATTGGTAGAAATCTGAATTTCGTTGTCCATTGTCTAGCTAGTAGGGTCATATCGTTGACGGGACCTTCTCTTTGGAAGGATAGTCTCCCGTCTTTCTTATCTTCTTTCTTTGGCGATGTTCGTAGAACTAGTCTCTATTGAATATTACCAGTTGTATTGATTTGAAAAAAAAAAACATAAAGCATATGCTTCACAATAATGATTTATCATACTCTTTGAGATGGTGGACGTTGGTAATTAAATTTTTATTTTCTTATCAAACGTGCAAATGAAACGAATTGAATGAATATAACCTGAAAATACTACCATTTATTCAAATAATTAATAGGAGTTAGGCGGGCTTGTGACACTAAATGNCTCAGTGCATTTAAAAATGAGACGTTGAAAATTAATGCAAGAGATAGGGGAAGAAAAAATAATAATAATAATAATAATAATTAAATAAAGTTTGAAGAAAAGCACCCACACCCATGGCCCCATATAATGTCCCCTCAACATACTCTAGTAGATGCCATGCCACTATAATTATATACAATATGCTAATAAGTGGTTTATTTTCTATGGATTGGTATTCTAAAATCTAATTAGTGTAAACCTAATAGAGCAGTTTAATAATTTTACAACCGCCAATTTATGTTAATATGTACATTTCTCGTTAATTTTAGAGGTTAAGATATATTTATCAAGTATATGTTCATAAATATAATACATTATTGCAATGTGCAACCCCTATCTAAACATGAAACTATATTTCCATTATAAAAATGTGAAACTATTAAAACATATTAAAATGTGTAAATAAAATACAAATCAATATCTCATATCAATAAACTATATATATACGCTCACTATGTCTGGTATGAGAATCTTCTACGCACACTAGAATCATACAGAAGTAATCAATTTATGAAATATTTGTATAGACAGTTATATCTTGTGCGATTTACATGAAATATACAAAAACCCTATGGAAACATGTACTGTATTTCCACTATAAAAATACAAAATTGTTCATTTACCAACTGTGCAGCATATTAAAATGTGTACATCGAATACATATCAAGATCTCATGATCTTTAAACTATATAATCACCGTGCAAAGTATACGAATCTTCTGCGCAAAATGAAACCATATCGAGATAATCGATTTATTGAATAAGCATGTACATAAGTTGCATCGTATATATGATATGCATAGAGCTGTAAACGAATCGAACATTCGCGAACAAAAGCTCGTTCGAGCTCCTTTGTGTTCGACAAAATCTCGTTCGTTTGTTAATCGAGCCGAGTTCGAACAGAAAATTAAGCTCGTTTAATAATCGAATGAACATGAGCTAGTTCGATCGCAAACGTTCGATAATGTTCGCGAACATTAATTTAATATAATTTTATTTTATTTTTTATATATTTACATAATATCTTTAATAAAAAATCTAAATATGAAAATATCTTTTTTCTTTTTTTATTTTTTTCTTTTTGAATTCGAAGGAACATATTTCAAGTTAATCAAACATATTTAAAAAGTTTATGTATTAAATTATTCGAATATGAACGAACTCAAATTTGACGAACAATTAAACGAACGAGCTCGAACACGATTTTTTGCTCAAAAAATAAACGAAGGAACACGAGCTCGAACAGCCCAAGCTCGGTTCGGTTTGGTTAAGTTCGTTTACAGCACTAAATATGCACAACCTATTAAAAATTACACACAACTTT